CATCTTGAAGCTCCCCAGTTTTCTCATGGTTCTGTATGTCTATATTTAATCCCTAGGTGGTACAGTTAATGGCTGCTAACCGAAAGGTTGGCAGTTTTAGTTCACTCAGGCACTTCAGAAGGCCTAGTGATCTACTTCTGAAAAACTACCCATTGAAAACCTATAGGGCATAGATCTATGGTCACCATGAGTCGGAATGAACTCAGCAGCAATTGTTTCCTATAACTATAGCAAGGAAACCACAAATAGGTATGAAAGTAAATAACCTTTGTATGTGGCAAGAAATGGCTGCTATCAGTTTTTCTCCTTTTCAGCCTGGTGGCACTACTAGCTCCCTTTGAGAGCACAGAACAGCAGCTGCTTCTTAAGTTACTCCTGCCAGAGAAAGCGAGGCCTCTGGAAAGTCATATTTGATTAACATTTCTGATTCTCTTACTTGGAATATCATGTAGTCAGTACCTAGGCATAGAATTCAAATGGTATAGAATGACAAGAACACCCATGTTTAAAATCAGTGGGAAAATGACATTTTGTTTTGGGAAATTCACTGGAATGTTTACTTATATATATATATGTATAAACAGTATTAAATGAGCATTATATGCAGCATTACTGTTCATACACAATAGTTAATTTTGGTGGGGTTTTATATCCAACTATGTTCATAGTGAAGAGAGGTACCCTGTGAATCTCCTGAGTCAAGCCATGCTCACACCTTCATTTTCATGTTCATCTTCAGTTAGATTGGCTTTAACCATCTGTAACTATTTTCAACACCTATTACTTGCACTCTTTCAAGTGCAAGTAATTTCTTTGCATTACTCACTTTAAGCATTCTGTTCTTGTCATGATCTCTTCTTATAACAGAAACTTTGTCAGTCATGGTTACATGTATAAGTTCATATTTTCTATTGATCTATTGATTTTGAAGTTTCCCATCAGCTATGAATTCTATCAGCAGGAATAAAGTACCTCCAGGTGTGTGACTAGCATGTGACTGGGACTCCGCTGGGTTCTGAGTGACATTCATTTGTGGTTTATGTGAATCACACACCAGGCAGTGATGCTTACTCCCAAGAGTAACTGTTCTTGCAATAAAGTTGCATTGGTCATTCTTGATATTTTACATAATATACAACTGTTTTTATTTATGTTTTCTAAATATCTAGCAACGTAAGTTCAATGGATAGTGCAAATAAAAATGCTCTCAAAGAGGACTCTTAAAAACAACAACAAAGGTTTGGGATAACAGCATATTTATATTACAGAAGTGCACAGATATGAATGAGTTCTATGTCCATGTGCAGTGATTAAGTGATGTCTACTGTGATCTTGCTCAAGGCCTTTGGTCTGAGAAGTTCTCATGTGCCTGAGAAGCCCCAGCTTGACAGCAAAGCTTCATTTGCGTGATGTAGGAAATTTGCCTTTGTTTTATATACTCCCCACCAAGTCTTCCAATTATCAAAGTAATGAAGGATTGACATAGAAAATTTGTAGAGTATAAAAAACACACAAACAAAAAACAAATCTGTTGCCAGTGAGTCGATTCTGATGCATAGCAACCCTACAAAAAAATGGGGAAAAAAAAGTAAAAAATAAATAATTATTGCTAACCAACAATGGATTCCTGAGGTGGAGGGCTACACACACCAAGGGATTTTTCAAGCAAAGGTTGTCTTCATCGTGGTAATGGGCAGCTTGATGTGCTGCTCTTCCCTGCAGCAGCCAACCCTTCTCAGAGATTTCAATTTCAGCCAGTGGGCCCCTCCCCTAAGATATTAAATTTTTCCCTTGTTCACTTGTTCCCTAGGGGTGGTAGTTTCTTCCTACAGTTACTACCTCTGCTACAACTTAAGAGTTCTCTTGTTAACAAGTCTTTATATTATTCCCATTAATACAATGTTGAAAAAGCTTTTGACAAAATGCAATACCCATTCATAATGAGAACATTTAAGAAAATAGGAATTGATGGATACTGTTATCATGATGGTGCCCCGGTGGTGCAGTGGTTAAGAGCTTGGCTGCTAACCCAAAGTTCGGCAGTTCAAATCCACCAGCAGCTCCTTGGAAATCCTGTGGGGCAGCTCTATTCTGTCCTATAGGGCTGCTATGAGTCAGAATCGACTCAAGGGCAACAGACTTGGTTTTTTTTGTTTGGTTTGGTTATCATGATGAGGAGCCCTGGTGGTGCAGGGTTTAAAGGACTGAGCTGCTAACCAAAAGGTCAGCGGTTCGAACCCACAGGAGAAAGACACGACAGTCTGCTTTTGTAAAGATTACAGCCCTGGAAACCCGATAGGGCAGTTCTACTCTATCCTATAATGTCTCTATGAGTCATAAAATATGTTCACCTTAGTCTGAAAGCCAGCATCTTACTTAATGGTAAAACATTGGAGCATTACCATTAAAAGCAAGAATAAAGGCAAGGATGCCACTTCTCTGCTACTATTCAACATCGTGCTACAGGTTTTAAGCAATGCAATTAGGCAAGAACCATCAGAGGCACAAAAATTGGTTAAGATGTAAAACCATCTCTATTTGCAGGTGATATAATGGTATACCTAAAAAACCCTAGAGAATCAATGCTAAGAAACAATGTAAGAATACAGTAAGGTAGCAAGATACACAACCAACATACATAGATCAATCACCTTCACATCTACAACCAGTAGAGCACATACATGCTAGAGAAAATCCCATTTCAATAGTAAGAACAAAATGGAATACTTAGGAATAAATTTAACAAGAAACATGTAAAACCTGTATCAGAAAAACACTCCTGAAGTACACAAAATAGACTGCTCTTGGTTAGGATGACTTAAAATCATAAAGACATCAGTTAACTAAAATTAGACCCCTATTTCACACATGCACAAGAATAAACTCTAAAATAAATCCAGGATCTACCTAAATGTAAAAAATGAAACCATACGAGCACTGGGAAAACATGAGTAAATTCATCTTTAACCTCAATGTAGGGAAAGGCTTTCTAAATGTAACTTAAAATCAAGAGGCAACAAAAGATTGATAAATACATAAAAGATAAGCTTTTTACACAGCAAAAAATACCGTTGCCTAAGACAACTAAGAAGTTTGGAGAAAATATTTATAACATGTATCACAGATAAGAGCTTCTTAAAATTCGAGAAAGGACCAAAAACCCAACAGTAACATGAAAATCTTATGAAGCAGTCAGTTCTCTTTGGTTTGGTTTTGGTGAGTACAATACAAAAGCTTTCAATAAGTTCTGCAAGTCCTAGCAAATTATGAAACCATCAAACCTTTCAGTTTGGCTAACTATGGGTAATTACAAATGGAAAACAGTAACTTGACAGTGGAGAAATCTGATAGACTATCCTAACCAAGAAACCAAAGTTAACATTACTAGTAATGGGACAAACTGACATCATGTGCTTCCTGCTACAATAAAATGAGGACTTACCAGTTCTGTGGTAGTCTTGCCAAAAATGCATACATTTAATGAGGAAACATCAGAGAAACACAAAATTAAGGGATCGTCTACAAATAATTGGCCTATACTTTTCAAAAAGTCCGAAGTCAGGAAGAATAAACACCAAAGTGTTCCAGATTAAAGGAGACTAAAGAGAAATGGGAGTCACTCGGCTACTAACCGAAAGGTTGGAGGTTTTTCAGTCCACCCAGAGGCGTCTTAGAAGAAAAGCTTTGCGATCTACTTTTGAAAAATCAGCCATTTAAAAACCTCGTGGAGCAGTTTTACTCTGACATACTCGGGTCGCCACGAGTCAGGATCAACTCGATGGCCACTGGTTGAGAGAGAGATGACAACTAAATGCAGTGTGTGGAACTGAACTAGATCTTGGGCTAGGAGGACATTAGTGGGGCAAATGGTGAAATCTGAATAAGGTCCACGGAAGAATAGTACAATGCAGAATAACAGACAACAGTATTGTTAATAATGTTAATTTACTGACTTTGACAGTTATCCTGTAGTTATATGTTAACATTTAGTGAATATATGCAAAGACTAGAAGGAGATACTTAATGTTTCTGCAATTTAAGTCTGAAATTTTTTCAAAATGAAAGTTAAAAAAAAATTTTAAAGTACATATCCTTGACCAGGAAAGTAACTTGAACAATCTCTCCACAGTATGTCAAGCTAACCTTGATATTAGCATTATGAAAACACGTTTGAAACTCAGCCTTCATTTGTAATCAAACGAGAAATGAATCTAATTCTAAAATGTAGCTCAACCTATTTACTAGGGCCTGAAGTGTTAAGCACCAGCACTATAAATATTAAAAGGAGATACTGTAAAAGGGAAATATCTAACAAGTTCTTGTCAAGAGGTCAGAAGAAACTAAGGAAAAGGCTGCTCTAATGACTCGGGAGGAAATGGTTAGCAAAGTGAAGGTGATGGAAATGAGGAGAAAGCAACCAATGTGACCTTAGAATTCATGATAACCAAGGAAAAGAAGTTTGGGTATCTGGAATGTGTTGAGAGAAGGCTTCATAGTATGCAGGATAAAGAAAGCAAACTGCGTAACAATATTTACAAGTAATCAGAGGAAGTGGACATAGTTAATCTGCAGGGAGCAAGCACAGGCCCAGGGCAGAAAGAACATTTCAAATATTTGATGAAAGCCCTTAAGCAAGAGAGGGATTCAATGTATTTCCTTCTTTATGGTCTTAATCTATATATAGGGCTAATGGATGACAGACACTAGTAGGAGAATACATTCTAGTATTTGGGGATTTTCAAAGGTATATATGCCTCTACAGGATTTTCTACAGCACAGGACAGAGAGAACCCTTTTGTAATAGAGGACTTGGATGTTTGACCTAAAGTCTTGTCCAACCTGAGATACTGTAATGCTACAGAACTGCTGCTAAATTAGACAGACTTTAATAACTAAGACTTTCAAATCCCCTATTACTTTGGCTAACAATACGGGCAAAAGCAACCACCTTAACATTTGTCTCAACTTTTTATAAAAGCAAACAAAGAACAAGCAACAAATAAGTGGAATAGAAAGTAAGAACACTATTGAGTTTGACAATTTATTGGTATTTTAGTAAAGACACTCATCTCAGTCATTTCTCTCCCTTCTTGACCCTAAGGAAATACTTCATTTGGGTCAAGAAAAGAATACACAGGAGAGGGATAATTACTACTTTAACATAAACAGTAAAATGAATAAAAATGGAAAGTTTGCCTACATTAAAGTAAGTTAAAGTTAAATTCATGTATCTTGATATACTTAAATCATGTAAGAAAGAACTAAGAGTTCTATATACATTTCCATTGTTTTACTTGGGACTTATTCTAAACTTAAATGCAAGTGAACAAAAGTATTAGGAATATACAACAGTCAGGCTGCTTCTCTGGAGTTATTACCTAGTCAAAGAGCTCAGTGAGCAGTTACCACCAATAAAATAGTGACATGTCCTTCAAATTTAACACTGTAGGAATTTTCAAGCAAATTGTTGTATTTTGTTTGATTGTGACTATGTTTTGAAAGATGTGTTTAACTGTCACATTAAGAAAAAGAGAGTTCATATACAATACAAAAATAAAAGGGAAAAAAAAGAAAATACCACCCTAAACCTCACAACACACGGAACAAAGTATATATGGTCAGAGACTCCATAAACTGTTTGAAGATGCATTTTCTTTCCTTCTATTTTCAGTATCTAAAATGTGCTTTTGAGAGACCACTGGTCAATACATATTCACTTAAAATAAACCACAGTATTCTATTAGTAAGAACTCCTATAGTAAGGTCAATTCAAATTGGATTTCACAAATCAGTAACTTAAATGCTTTGACAAAGTACAGAAAGTGCATCTTCTCACTTTTCATCTTCATACAGTATTTTCTTTTTTGGGTGTTCATACCTTTTAAAAAATAAAAACAGCCAAATATTTAAGCAATATGTACATTTAAATTTTTTGGTGGTGGTTTGTATTTTAAAAGAAACAGCTTCCTCCAGTTCTGGTGGAAACAATTTCAGGAACTAGCTACTAAAAGAAAAAAAAAAAGCACATTCAAAATACTGATTTACTTTGGTAGCAAATGGTTGTTCTTTGAAGACTAGTGAGGGTAGACAAGACCCATTATGGTGAAGTGAGTTATTTCAAATATTCAACAGTTTACATAAAATTTCAAAAAATGGTTACTTTTAAAGAGCTAAGCATCTCTATCTACTGACAGCAATGCAAGAACTACTTTATGACTTGAAACAAAACAAATGCCCATGAGAAAAACAGCTGTATGTAATTTTATCTAAATTTACTTTCAGGCAATAGTTCACTAACATTTGTCCTCCCAATACAATACTCCCTTTCCTATAAGGCTGTTCCTGGGAGCCAGACAGTTTACATAATGAGGAAGTTAAGTTAGAGAGTAATTGCTTGTATTTTGAACCAGTTTAAGTAGGTAATAACTTTTTGCTTCCCTCTTAATGTGCTAATAGTTGTGTTTAAAAAAATATGCAATTCTTAAAAAGGTACCATTTCTGACTTCTTTATTATCTGTAAACTTTGGAAACTAATCACATGAAACTACAAAATTAGCAAATGTCTTGAAATCTGTATATAAAACATAAATTACCTCTAATTTCAAACTCTCTTTTATTAGTATGCCACTCAATCTCTACTTAAAAAAACAACAACAACCAAAAAAAAAAAAAAACGGCTCCAAAGATAGTCTTATACCATTCTTTAAAAAAGGAAACTGTTCCTTTTAACCTTACGCCCACCCCACACCCCAATCGCAAACACATCATTTAATTGTCTTGGTCATGGACATTTCCAAGGTGAGATTTTATATTTCGCTCCCATAGCTTCTGGTTATCAGAAAACCCATGCTTTCCTTTGTTGAAGGAGTTTGGTCCTGCTGATGTTGGTGTATCCCTGTGTTAACAGAAAGAAGTTTATTTAAAATGTTACATAAAGCCTTTTGGGCTATGTTTTGAACTCATTCAATGTACTTTTATTTAGCACCTATTTATTATAAACACAGGCAGAACATCAGAAGCCCCTAGAGAATTTTTAAAAAATAACCTTTCCACAGATCCACTCCTAGAATTTCAGATTCAGTACGCCTGTGGTGGGGCCAGGTAAATCTGTAGTTTTAACAAACATTTAAGGTGGATTCTGATGCACAGGTAAGGTTGGGAACCACTACAGTTTTTTAAACTCTGGGCTGCAACCCATTAACAAGGTCATGAAACCAATTTGGTGGTCTGCCATCAACATTTGTTTTAAAATAAAAAAAAAAGATGCATCACATACAGTAAGGCTCAACATCGTTTTATGAACTTTTGTTTCAATTTCATCTGTTTAAATATATGTACACTGGGTGTTTAGATAAGGTTACAACGTCAGATGTATTTCTTACTTTAGTTCCCAGTATAAAAGAAAGGCAGGCACCCACCTGGATGTTCCTAATTAAATCACAAAACTGAAAGCCTAAAAACTAAAGCTTGTGTATGGATTTAGTTAGTAATCAGTTATTTGGAGAGGTTCATACATTTGGTAGAAATGGGTATATAACAGTGTTGATCTCAAGTTGAACTTTCTTGCTAGCCTCTCTAAGTTATCTGTTTATGCATGCAAAGAAAGAAAACTGATTATCATGTTAACTTGAGGTTAATGTTATTTCCTTAATAAGAAGAACAATGAAGGAAAATGGAAATTAAAATACTTCTGTCTGATTTTGGTATTTACCATCTAAATTACCAAGGAAAAAACATACAGGATTAAGATTATTGAAGAGAATGACATCCTAAGTGAAGAGAACTAAAGTCATTCCTCTTTTACCAGAAAAAAAAATCAAGTATTAATTTTAAATCAAAAATATATATATATTTTAAATACATCTCTGAGCTAGATCTGGCTACAGGCTTTCAGTCTGCAACTTTTAATCAGTGCTTCCCTGTATACTCACTGCCGTCGAGGTGATTCTGACTCACAGCGAGCCTAGAGGACAGAGTAGAACTGCCCCATAGGGTTTCCAAGGATCGGCTGATGGATTCCAACTGCTGACCTTTTGGTTAGCAGCTGAATGCTTAACCACTGCATCACCAGGGCTCCCTTCCCTATATAACTAGTCTGATAAGGCAGAAAACATGTAAATCAAAAATATTTCTGATAACTATTTCTTGTTTGAAGAATATAGGTTAGTTACATGTATCTGAAAATAAATAGCCTTAAGTTATTCTGTTATTTTTCTTATATGCTCAATTTTTCTTACCAGGAGAGAAAAACAAGATCACTGTTACACGTAGCTCACAAAACATCACACTATTACTACTCTACTGTTCTATTTCATGAGGACTAGTCCATATCTTACTCATCTTTGAAACCTTAATCATCTAGCACATAGAAAGTACTGAAAACTATTTTGCCAGGAGACTTGAAGAAAATGCTAAACATTAAAACATTATATGCAATTTATTCTTGCTCTTAATTCACCCTATCATTTTCTATAATATTAAAGTTATGAAAAATTATAATACCTTCCAATATTCTTCATCCTCATCTTTGCTTCTGGAGGCATTTCCTCTGGTTCACTCTGGAGAAAGAATTAAACCAAGATGATGGCATACAGATTTATTACATTCACCTGATTACTAACAATGCTAAATTATATATCTAAGTCTTTTAACATTTCCAGTATTGTGAATTTCAGTAAAAGGAAAAAATTAGTGAATTATTTATTTTAGCCACATTTAAAAAAGAAATGCTTAGCTTTTAGTATACTGATTTTGCATAAAGTAAAAAAAAAAAAAAATGGTAAGAAACCCTGATATTCTTGAACTAAGGCCATTTATTTATTGTTTACTAGACTGAATTCCTAGAGGAAAATGTGCTTAAATGCTTTAATATGCATGACTGTTTAAAATCCTAACAATAATCCTATAGGGTGGGTTATGATTATCATCATTCCCATTTTGCAAATGAGTTAAACAAAGTTAACTTACCCAAGGTCATAAAACTAATGAATGACAAAATAGTCTGACATCAAAGCAAAGGTTCTTCACCACTTTACTGTACTGCTCACTCTCAAAAATATCCACTATAAAGACAGCTTGACGGCTCTTTATTACTTCTCCATTCTTATAGTCGTTAAAAATATATGTAAACAAATCAGTTTCCTTTCAGATATATATTTTTATGTATAAATGCTTTTGAGTTCCAACTCATAGCAACCCTACAGGACAGAGGAGAACTGCCCCACAGAGTTTCCAAAGAATGGCTGGTGGATTCTAACTGCTATAGCTCTTAACCACTGCAGCACCAGGGCTTATATACATGTATATGTATACACACATATAGACACATATATATACATACATATATACACATATACATTAAAGTGTGTTGTGCAGATTCTTAAAGGGGACTTTTTCTGGTCAAATCTGGGACAATTTTAGCATTACAGGTAACAGATAAAGGATTGTAACTACTGAATAAAGAATCCATGAGTCTAAACTGACATAAATAAAATAAATTTTAAAAGAGCTAAGGGAAAACTCTTCCTTACAGGAAAAGCCAATTAATAAACTTAGAAGGGATGACAGAATTAGAAAATCTCACTATTCGGCAAACATCGTCATCATGACTGATGCAGACTAGAATCATCAATGGATGCTAACATTAGTGAGTAAATGAGGAATAATGGGATATTCACATATTCTCAAAGTATATCCCCATAACATACATTTTAATTTCAAAAGGTAGAAAGTGGAGAAATGTGGCAGACACCACCTTAACCAAATGATCAAAGTAAACACAGCCAGTAATGGGACAAAAGGACAGCATGTGCTCCCTGACATGATGCAGTCACTGAAAATCTGGCATCACTTCTGGGGTATTCCTGGCCAAAAGTGAGAAGTGTGACTCTGAGGATGAGGAAACACAGACTAACCCAAACTGAGGGACATTCTACAAAATAACTGGCCTCTATTCTTCAAAAATGTTAATGACATGAAATAATAGGAAGACTAAGGAATTGTTCCAGATGAGAAGAGACCAAAGAGACACAACAACTGAAAAAATATTAAATATTTTTAAAGTAATTATTTACTTTGGTGCCTGTTTGTCCGATATATTTCAGGCTCAGAATATATCCAAAGGTACTTAACTATGTTCTGTAGAACAATGATAAGCGGATGAAGATTTCAGATGCATGTGCTGTTGTACTTATGAGATAGTTTATCCTTTGGAGTTCCTGGGTGGCGCAAATGGTTAATGTGCTCGGCTGCTAACAGAAAGGCTGAAGTTTTGAGTCCACCCAGAAGTGCCTCAAAAGAAAGCCTGGTGATCTACTTCCAAAAAGGTAGCCACTGAAAACCTTAATATAGTTCTACTCTGACACACATGGCTCACCCTGAGTCAGAATCAACTCTAAGGCAGGAGGTAAATTAGTTTTAGTTTATCCTTTACTCCCATTAACATATTACAGCACAAAGATTGCTGTCTGAACCTGTTTAAAGCTTCTTTAAAAAAAGTAGGGAAGACAGTAAGCTATCAGGATAAGAAACCAGAAGACCTAAATTCTAATTCAGCATTAGTATACATTAGCACACACTCATGCACACTTTACTTCACTTCTTAGGTTCTCCATTTGCAAAATAAATGTATCACAATTTACAGGGATATATGCAGAGTAAAACAGTTATGTGAAAAGATATACAAACTGTTCAGCATTCAAAGTAAGCTATTACTATTATGTAGGTGCTTAAAATTTCTAGCCTCTGCACTTTTGCACATGCTGTTCCCTTCTTCCTACACTGTCCTTCTCTCATACAATGTTCACATATCCATATGCTACCTAATCTCTTAAGAATGTTAGAGATGCCAGAAAACTTGAAAATGGGAGGAATCCACAGCCCTGCTTGTTAGACATCACCCTTTCACATCACAGTAGCTCCCGAGACACTTCCATAGAACCCCAGCACTTTGAGAGATAGTTTAACAATCTATGATCTAAACTGGGCCTTCAATTTGCAGTTGAGAAACTAAGGCTCCCAAAAGGTAAAGGGATGCACTCAAACGTTTTCTGCTGGTTAGTAACTGGCAAGGCAATGCCTGGACAAGAATCCAAGTCTTCCGATTCCCAGACTTGTGGTCTTCCCATGCTGCTGCATCTAGTTAGCTGGCCTCTCTTCTTCCTCTGAATTTCCACATCACTTCATCTTTTCAGGTACTTCTGATTTTATATTTTGTACTATCTTGTGTATAAGTCTCTGCCCTAACAGGCTGAATTTTTAGGGAACATATCTGGGTTATCTTTGTAACCTCACAGTGCCTTGCATACAGAAAGCACTCAAATGTGTAGAATGAGTAAAAATCCAAAGGAGATTAGCATGATAACCACAGTAATTCTTTACCGACTGATCTTTGCTCCAACCATTCCATACTTATCCTTACCCAATACACCTCTACAAAATTCTGCAGCTAGTCAGTATTTATCACTTGACTTGAAAGTGGATGTCTTAGCTTATAAAAGCATTCCTGGGTTCACCAAAACCCTGCTTAATGTTTTAGTACCCAACTCTATTACACCATTCTTCCCAAATCACTTTAGCCCCACAGGGTTTGTGCTCCTCTGAATGTATGTATAATTCTATGCATATTGTTTTGGGGAGCAATTACTCATGTATCCTCTAACGTTTAATTGTTATACTATAAGGGTCATATTGTAAGTGGGAATTAGGTTCTAAAGTAAGAGTATAAAGCAAAATAACAGTCAAAATTATCCTTGAAAATTCTATAAATCATTCACAAGCACGGTAAGACAGGGACACTGAGTGGCACAAGGGAACTGACTGAGAAGAGCTGAGGAGCCCTGCACGCTCACTCCTGAACACGTTTATTGAGCAGAACTGTACAACATCTGCAACATTTAAACTGTTACTCCTCCTGGGGGTGCAGGGAGTAACTGCCTTCCCTAAGATAAATGCATGTATAATGTATCATCACTAAAAACCCTAATGATAAACATTACTAATGGTAGCAGTTTTAATTTCTTCTTTTTTTTAGATCCTTCATATCTCCTAGGATAGCATATTACTATCATAATAAGCATCTGTTGATCTGGTTCTCAAGCTTCTTGACCCAAAAGTCAACAATATTTTTAAATAATCCTACAACCAAAGAAAATTAATACAAAAAACAGAAGCATCCACTTTTTGTAGGTACCACAAAAAACTATTCAAAGTTACAAAGAAAATTCACTAGTGTCATTAAGGCAACCTACAATTTGCCACTAGCACTTTCTTTCAATAATTTGTTAAAGTAAAATAAACAAAACTAGGTATAAACTTACATCTTCATCTTCATTAAAAGCTGCTGCTACTGAAAGGGTTTTTGGAGCAAGAGTTGGAACTGTTTCTTTAGGCTTCTAAAGAAGAAATATAATTTTTAAAATATCATGTAAGTAACATTTGTACAGGCTTGTTTAATTACATGAATAATTGATCTTTAAAGACTCAATTTTATCTTTTCATAGAACTTATACACTAAAGAACTCAATACTTTGGACAAATCCATTCTTCTGGAAAATGTGGGTTATCAGTGCGTACATTTTAATGTACTAATTGCATGTCCATTTTTTTCCCCTCCTATAAAAGATTTTCTATATCGTGAGTGAAATCTCTGACTTGCTGAAAGTTAACCATCCCTTCTTCTACATAACAAACTTTTGCTTTTGAAAGAATAAAAAATGTTACTTGGAGATTATACACAGAGACAAACATAGTAAAACTTTTTAGTCTTTGGAAAACAGAAACTTGTTTTCATAAAATAAATTACAGTGTTAATGTAGTCTTCTGGGGGGGGTGAGGTGTAGGATATAAAAAGTAGTTGAAACTGCTCGTTTTGATTATACAGCGTGTGAAAATATAGTTGATCAACCGACAAATACTTATTTGTGTCTTGTGTCTACAACATCAAATACGTGACACCTTTAGAAGAGTAAAATACAACAAAAAAATAAGCTCCAATAAGAGTTGATTTACAACCTTATAACAAGATTATAAGCTTAATGTCTTTTGTTCAGACTAAAATTTAGGAAAAAGGAAAAAAAGCAAAAGAAAGAACACAGCATGGGCATGGGACTCTGAGGAATGGTGGCTCTTTTAAAACTAGAAGCTATGGAAATAGATGATGATGGCTAGACAACATGATGAACACAATTCACGCCACTGAACTGTAAAAAGTGTTAAAATAGCACTTGTTATACAGATATTTACCACAATTAAAAAACCAAAACTAATAACCTAGAAACACAGCTCAAACACATCAACTCTAACTGGAAAGTAATCCGGACCGATTTTTAAAGGCTCTCTGAACAAACATCTAATATAGAAATAAAGCTGTATAGTAATTAGGTATTAATTTTTCATAAAGCAGACATGAATTAAACAACTCACGAGCATGAATGTAACCATTTTCTAAAACCAACAGCACTCTATTATCTCAATAACTTAAAGAAGAGATCTATTTGGTGGAACCAAATGAAACTGTCATTTTTGTAGTTCAAGAGCAGTTGAGTACAACTTCATATGGTTCAACTTAGTATTCTGAATAGTTCTAGAGGTTCCACAGTTAATAATTTAAGTATTAATTCAAGGTTTATATCTTTAGAAAAGGGACCAAAAATGTATCTGTAAGGACTTCTGTCACAGAATATTAGTACTCAATGTTCATTTGTAGCTCTAAAGTAAGGTGATCAAGAAGCTCTTATTATCAAGCAATACTTTACTAATAGTTTTTTTGAGATAAAAATATTACTGGCATTGAAAGAAAAAAAATGAAATTCTCTCTGAAAATATTTTTCAGAGGTTTTTACTCAAATTTGGAAAAAATTCTAAGTTAGCTATCACTTTATATTCCCTATTGCAGCTGTTCCTTCTAATATTCCAGATCTTTCTTCATCAGCGCTACTCACTTTTTATATACTTACATGGAAGTTCATGCATCAAAGATTACTTCTAAAGCAATGTATCTTTTATGCTTAATTTACCATAACCTATTAAATAGGCTTCCAAAACAAATTCTTAAGACACATTACAAACATCGTATTTAAAATAACAACTCACACTTGATCCAAGTTTGATGGATATGGCTGATGCTTTCTTTGTCGTCTGACTACCTATGGCAAATCCAAACTTGGAGATCTTTGTAGGTTTTGTTGGGAAGTCTCCAGCTTCTTCTTCAGCTGATCGCTTCTCAGCGCTGCGACTGGAACTTTCCCCTCCATTACTGGAAGAAACAGTCTTAGTTTTCACAGGTTTTTCTGCTTCTTCTTCAGGTCCTGGTGAAGTCGAAACAACTTACCAAGATGAGCTATTTTTACTGAGCAGATTGATGGGAGCAGCAACCTCAAAAAGCATCGTTATAAGGAAGACACCTCTGCAGTTGTCACCTACTGACCCAACAGTCTCTTCCACTGTTTGTTAGAGTATACAGCAGGAACTGAGATTGTGTGGCAGTAGAAGAGGCTCCCATGAATTAACTAGCATAAAATACAGAGCAATTTAAAATTATAAACATGGAGTTCACAAAAGTAAAGACCCTTCAACTAAACACTGTCGTTTAAGTTTACAACAGACTGGTTATTTGTGGAACTCTGCTTTGTAGAAGTTAAGATCTATAAATTCTTCTACACAAACTAGTTTGTGGGCAGTCACATCATAATACAATATATTTGAGCAATAAATTCTAATATTCTTCAACAATGTACCACTAATTACACAAAGTACCTAGTTAGAAACAGGCCAATTATTAACAGCACTACAGTGTTAATACAGTCTTGAGTTACTTTTCTTAAGTGATGTGTTCCTCACATACATTTCACAAAATCTTATGAGTTGAAAGGAATTGAAGAGAGCTTCAAGGTATTCCCTAGGTAAGTTAACTCTACAGTGAAAGTCCGGCTATCACCTGTTTTACATTTAAGAGCAATTAACAATCATGCTTCCATTTACACATTATTTTTTCTCATGAAAGAGTAAGTTAATTATAATTCCAAACAGAAGGCATACATATGTAGGTTTGAAATGCAAGCTGTCTTTAGGTAATTCTGCTTGTTTTTGTGTTAGGTCAATGATTAGTTTACATCCTGAGTATCTTAGATCTCTTATACCAGAAGGCTATTTAAGAACATATTAAAGGGTAAGACAGAAGAAAGCTGGCTGATCATTAAAAATTTTATTTTCTTTTCCCAGTTATACTCTATAGAATGTATTCTGCTACCCTAGATGAATAGTTTATTTATGGAGAAAGAGAAGATGCTCTAAGGGACAGTCCTAACAATAACTGAGAAAACAGGACAAAAAGCCAGAATGGGTGGGTGGGTGAGACCAAATCCAAACAGACTCGCAAGTAAAGGATTAAAAGATAATTTTGGAATGATGGAGTCTCTGGATTAATAAACACTTTGAACAGAACACTTGATTTTGTTTAGAGGAAAAATTAAAGGAATTATTTATTCGTTTTGGACAAGGGGTGAAAGTTGTAATGACAATGCAGAGGAGGAATTAAGCAGGATTAGGTTCTGGAATTCCCCAGGAGGCAGTGATTGCCTGAGGTGCCATTTAGATATAAAATTACAAAAGCACCTAAGAATGAAAGATTGGCCTGCTATGCAATAGTTGAAATACAGAAGTCAATTTCTTAAAACAATAAAAAAAGAGTATTGTGCAAACATCAGTGTTTTCAAAGTCTAAGTTTATAACTAAAAGCATTTATGCTAAATTTTATTCTGCGTTCTATTTACAGTTTTAGTCAACTATGATATTGTATAGTAAAACTCAAAATAATAATTACTTTTCTGTACCTGACACAGCTAAAATTGCAAACTCATTGGCTCTGCATATGGTGACACACAGAAACAGAAAACTAATTGGCTTCACGTACACGCTAAACGCACAAGTTTTGTGCAAAGACAACTGTGAAAAACATCAAAACGAACAGCATAAAAAAAATTAGAATTCATTATAGTGTAAACTCTATCTTTCAACTGTGACCGAAGGGCTATAATTAGTTAAAGTTTCCGGTCCTTTTTAAACCTCTCTTTTCCTGATTCTAAGTCTCTCTTTACCCAGAAAATAATTCTGGAACAGAGAATCTAGAAAAATTAGAAGTATAAATATGAGAAAAATGAAAACATAATTCTTACTATAATAATATTAAATGTGATAACTAGCTTAACTAGTATGTGCTAATACATGAAATTCAGTGCTATGTGCCCATCCTAATTACACTGTAGGAAAGATTTCCATGGAGACCGCTCCAGAAAAAGTTAGCATGAAAAGGGGAGTTGGGAGAACTACTCTACCATTCATTACTTAATCAACTGGCAGCAGTTCAATTTTATTCACCCCTGAGTTCTCGACATCTGAAGGGGCAAACTAGGAAGACTGCCCACTTCACAGGTCCACACTTAAGATTAAAAAAACTATGTCTATTAACTAATTTCTACATATGACTGATTCCAGATCCAGCATGTTACTTCTAGACATAGCAAATCACTGTTTGGCCTTGCCCACTCAAGAAGTTTTTACGTTTTTGCTTTTTAAAGTCAATTGTAAAAACTCTATCAGTATCTTTAGATACGATTGAGGAGGGGCATGAAGGAAGGTGAGTGCACTATTACCTTGAAAGGCAGAATGTGTCACCTGGACTGAGCTATCATTTTCTCTTTATGTAATCCTCTTCTAACAATTATGTAGCAGAATACACAAAGCATTTAGGAAATAAAGCAAATGCATTAAGTAAGGAACTATGGTGAGAAAATATGATAAGTCAAATTTATGCTATTAACGTGATTCGTATATAATTTCTACAATTCTATGTACAATTAGAAAATTATTTCAACCTAATGTGAGCTTTGAAATACACTATTAAATATCAACATTAATTCCTAAGTATATTAAGTGTCTTCCTTTAAACAACGCATGTACTGTTTTTGTGTTCGGGGCTTTCAATCAGGGACTGCTATTTTCAGTCTATTTAATAAAATGTTTTGTATTTTAGGACTGTAGAAAACAAAATTTTGGATGACCACAAATGAGTACTGTAAAAATTTTAGTTACAGAAATTATATTTTAAAGAATGTTCAGTTTTTTAAAAATAATTAAACCAATCAATTTATAACATAAAACATGAGTTATGTAAAATTACTAGATTCTTTATCAAGGAATATTTTAACAAAAGGGATTTTATCTAGTTTCTACTTATTCTGAGCACACAAAATGTGTAGTTTAATTAACGTGAAATCAAATTACATACGGTACTATCACTTTCGGTTTTTATCACTGAATAGTTGGGGAAAGATGGACTTGAGTATAAAGGTACTTACTTTGAAAAAATTACCTAATAAGAAAGTTTAAGTCCATAAGGACACCATTCATGACCCATTTTGCATTCTGGTGTCGCTTCCTAATCTAAAAAAAGGGCACACAGCCACCTCTCTAATAGGACTGGCGTGAGGCTTAAGTGAGAATATAGTCAAGACTCCACTAGTGTCTGGCACAATAAATGTCAATTTCATTAAAGACGTTCTTCGCATTTAAAAAAAAAAAAAAGCCTGAGATGGCTATGCTTATGATATGAGTAGCTCTTCTCTAAACTTCCTACTTATTTCAAGGAACTACAAAAATCTAAAAGAGGGTGGGGGTGGGGGGGATCCTACCCAAAGCCTTATACCTCCTCTCTAAGGTGAAAGCAGGTAGTTCAAGTAAACAGCTTCTCTCACTGACATAGTCATGTCAAGTATGGAAGTAATCTACTCATAAAATACCTATGCTGCCAATGTACTGGAATGTTCAACTGAAATTAAAATTCAGAATATTTTCTAAGTAAGTCCTGAAGACAAACTTGATAGTGTTTTCAAAAGAGTGACTACTTGCCACAGAACTAACAATTTATCAATACCCATGCTGTTATTAAATATTTTAACTATGAGTTCTCTGTACAATGTCATTAAAAATATCTGACATTCAAAAACGGTTTATATGCAACAGCACTAATTTCTTGCAAAGGAAAATACACCCAAAGCAAATTACGTAGTTGAGGCATATTACTTATTCCAAGTCACCAATGGAAAAAAAAATGCTAAAATGAAAACACCAAGAGACAAATTAAGGATTCATACTACAGAACTAATATCTCTCAACTGACAGAGTGGTGGATAAATTATACAGCGTAATTATGCTGACACTTAAAGTATATTTTGGCAGCACGTTAAACACATCTCCCTACACTCAGTCGAGACAATTAAAGACAGCCTAAAATTAAAAGTCACATAAGATTCCTTAGGTTGCAGATCTATTTTTTCTCAAACTACTTCTAATTTTTAATGAAATTTTACTCAACAATTTCCAAGACAATATTTTTTTTTTTTTTGGCGGGGTGTGGGGGGGTGGGTCCCAAACGAGTTAACACTAGATGGTTTAAACTATTGTTTCATAAGCTATTTTACCAAGAAAAAAAGGGCTCTATAGCACTGTTCATGTTTTTTTAAAAAGGAATTTTGGGGTCCAAAGTAACTGAACATTTCATTTATCTTCTTTCAATGCTTTTGTTCCCAAAGTAATTAACATTAAACATCATGTTAGTAGGGCTTAAGTTGCCTCCATATGCTATTACTCTTCTGTACTTTCTCTATTAGATGCTTTCAGGAACAAGACTTGGGGGACTCAGGATGGCGAACACTTAAAACGTTCATTAGGATAAGCTCGCACGTGTTACTTCCCTTGTTACGACAATGCTGGGATAGAGAGAGAACGTTTCTCTTTTCCTTAAAGCACAACACCAAAATTTACGGGGGGGGGGGGGGTTAGATAGAATAAAGATAGCTTCAATCTGAGTTTACTCCACATCGTAACGAAATACAGAAAGAGTCACACCAGCCTAAATATCTGGCATGCAGTCAGCTGGCAACAGCCTAAGAAAAGGCAGATAAAGACAAACCCCAGACCCCGAAGCTTAAACCAGCAGGCGGGAAGAGTTTCCTCTTTCCCTACCTCGGCCCACCCCATTTAAGAGCCAGCATTCGGCTTGAAAATGGAGAGAGAGCAGGCTACGGTCGTCCGCCTCCTCAGAGAACAGGGAGCAACAAGCGTTAACTAACTCCTAGGTGTAACTGAAAGGCCAACACCGTCGGAAACTCGGCCTGCGGCCAGTTCCCGAGGCCACGGCTCGGTGACCCGTGTAGGGTGTGCGTTTTGTGTGATGCGTGTCTCTGATGTGGCGGTAGCGATTCCTGCACCGCCGCTCCGAGTCCCACCCCGAGTTCGGGCTCCATTTCTGGGGCCTATCTCCCCTCTCCTCAGAGTGAGACGTCCGCTGGGGCCTATCTCCCCTCTCTTCAGAGCGGGACGTCCGCTGGGGCCACGAGGTGACGCACAGTGGCGGGCTCTCCCCTAGCAAGGAGGCGATGTGGGCCAGGTTACCAGCGGCCGCACCGGGCGTGCCCGGGGCTCGTCTGGGCCCAACACCTGGCCGGGTGAGCGCCAGCCAGACCCGCCCATTCTCGCCCATCGCACATCCCCCACCCCGGGAAGGTTTAAAAAAATGGACCACAGCGTTCCCCGCAGCCCGCGACGCTGGGGTTGTGTTCACCTCCGGCGGCTCCAGCACGTTGCGGATTCTCCGGCTTCTCCTCTCCCGCCTTCCCGTCCGCCATTTTCCCCGCCGCGGTCTCTCCTGCAGCCACGCCAAGGACGTCACGGCCCCGCCTAGCAATCATCGAGCTTCGCCGCCAACCCGCGAGGCGGCAGCCTAGAGCGGCCCTGGAGAGTAAAAAGAAGTACTTTCGGAAACGGAAGTGGATGTGACGTCATCGGTGCCTCTGAAGGAAGGACGGGGGAAGTTGGGCGGTCCCTGTAGACGGCTAGCTAGGGACCTAATAGAAGGCAGTTAGATTTTTCATGGCCCAGTGGTGGGTCCAAAGAAGTGAAGGGAAATGGGAGCATCACCCTGGAAATACTGGGGATCTGGGAAGGTCTCTGAAGCCCCGGGTATGGTTGCAGCTGTGCCTGGCGGGGTCTTCATTCGGGCCTTACTGGATCACGTGTGCCTACTTTACGTAAAGACAGTAAAGGATTAGTCTTTCCCTCGGTGGAGGGGAGTCAACATTTATCGAACGCCTTCTGGTGTCAAGCACCATTCATATACTATCGCAATAGTCCACTGCGGAATATACTGTCCTCTTTTAATCAGCTGTGAGAGTTGAGGCCCAGCGAGGATAATTCCTCCGAGGTCACGTAGAATGGTAAACGACCAGTTTTTTTATATGCCACAATTACCCTATCAAGTTAAGAGGAGGAATACAGAATTCGAAAAGCAGTAATTTCTGCCAGTCTTAGAAGCCTTCAATGGATCTCCAGGTTTTGTAGCATGACGTCCATGTGTTTTGTTGGATCCCACCCTGCCTTTTGAGCCTGATCTTACTTTTCTTTTTCGTCTGTATTTATCCAGCCGCCGCCTGAGTCTGTTTCTTGGGTTTGCAGTTTCTGGGTTTGCCCTTCAGTATGCAATGAGTGTTATAGAACAAGGGAACCCTGGTGGCGCACTGGATAAGCGCTCCTCTGCCAACCGAAATGTTGGCGGTTTGAACCCATCAGCCGCTCAGCTGGAGAAAGATGTGGCAGCCTGCTTCTGTAAAGATTACAGCGTAGCAGTGGTGAAGTCACTCCCGAGGTTCACCGTTCAGCAGGGGATTGGACAGCTGCATAAAACAAAATGGGACTAATGAGGCCAGCAGTCCAGGGACAAGGACCAGAAGGCAAGAGGGGACAGGAAAGCTGGTGGTAGGGAACCCAAAGTTGAGAAAGGACAGTGGTGACAGGTTGTGGGGTTGTTAACCATTGTCATAGGGCAATATGTGTACTAACTGTTTAATGAGAAACTATTTCGTTTTATAAACCTTTATCCAAATTCCAAAAAAGAGTATCTATGTGAGATCAAATTGACAACAGCGACTCAAAAGATTTGATGGGAAGCCTAGGGGACAGTGAGTAGAAGACAGTGGTGATGGAATAATTTGGAAAAGGATAGTGAGAATAGCAGCACAACTGGAAGAAAGTAATTGATGTCACTGAATTGTACATGTAGAAATTTTCGAAATGGTGTATCTTTGGCTATGTATATTTTTACCAAAGGGGAAAAAAAAAAGGTCCTCCAAAGTCGAGAAGCGAGAGTGTTGACATGTTGTGGGTTTGTTAACCAATGTCGTAAAACAATATGTGTACTGACTGTTTAATGAGAAACTATTTGTTCTGTAAACCTTCACCTAAAGTACAATAATTTTTTTTTGAATAAGTAAATTAAAATAAAAATAAAAAAAGATTACAGCCTAGGAAACCCTATGGGGCGGTTCTACTCTGGCCTGTGGGGTCGCTATGAGTCACAATTGACTCCTCGGCAAAGGGTTTGGTTTATTACAGAACATAGTTTTATGAGTCAGAACTTGAGTTTGAATCACTGATCAGCCCTTTACTAGCTAAGTAACCTTGGGGGAGTTGTTTACAGTCTCCAGACATACGTTTCCTCTGTAAAACAGGAATCATAATAGTACCAACTCATAGTGGTCAGGGGATCAAATAAGATAATTTCTGTATAGCAGTCTTGGTCACTTTATACTCCCCTGTGTGAGTTAATATTGTCTCTCTAAATGGCTTAAAAGTTCTTCGACAACAGAGACTTTTTAAAATTATTTTTTTCTTAACAGTACTTTGTACTGTCTGGTTTATATACGGAAGGTGCTCATATTCGTGCATGGTTGATTCCCCAGGCTTTAAGTCTGGAGAGTGGAGAAAGAATCAAGGTATGTTTCCCATGACAAAGCAGGGCAATTGGGTGGTGATTTGGTGATCTGGGTTGAAGTCCCTCGTCCACCATTTATAACACAGGATACGTAAAAGTGCGTAGCAAAATATCTTACATAGAGCAGGTGCTTAATTTTATGTTTGCTTCATTTTTCCTAGATGTGATCTTTGCAAGTTTCTTAATCATTGAGACCCTCAGTTCAATCAGTTTTTAAACGAACACATAAACATGAACCTTTATGTGAAATTATATATGTATTTATTTATAGGTACCTGTATTTTTAAATGAGGAAAAGGAAGCCCAGAAAGGTTGCTAGCTAGGGGTAGATCCACTTCCATATACTACACTATCTTTGCAGAAGTTAAGAGATGGATGATATCAATCCATTAGCCTCTCAGTTCCACAAGGCCAGGTTTTGTCTGCCTTGCTCATCGCTATTTCCCCAAAACCTAGATTGTACTGTCTCAATAAATATTTGTTGGCTTCATTAGTCTCCTGCAGTGGGTTAGGGAATGAAAAGGGAGTAGAGGGCAAAGAGCAGCAGCTTTGCATCAGACAAAACTGGCTTTACCCTGCCATTTCATAATTCTGTGAGTTTGGACAATCTTCTTGAATCTGGAATATTTCTTACAGGCTTACTGATAAGATTAAGTGATATAATATGTATAAAATTTGTAATATAGTGTCTGGGACATAGTGGGAGCTTGCTTAATGGTAGCTATTATTGTTTGTAACCTCTAAAGAGCTATTCAAATGATGGCTATAAAGCTGGAAAGGGACGGTAAGATAAACAATTATGATTTTAATTTAGATGTTAATATGTGAGGTGACAATTATTATATCTAACATTTATTTAGATATATGCTGAGCATAGTTGCAAGTATTTAGCATGAAATTTAATTTAATAACCACAACAGCCCTATGAATTAAGTGCTATTAATTATCCCCATTTTTATGGAAGAGGAAACTGGACCAAGGAAAAGTTAAGTAAGAGGTGAACTTGGAACTCAGGCAGAGAGCTGCAACAAAATGAGAGTGGAGAGGAAAAGTAGCTAATCATGGTGTCACTAACCTTGGGTGAGTTTGAACACAGCCTAGAAATCTTATTACATTCCCCTAGACTTGTGGTTCTGAAATTTTAGTATACATCAGAATCACCTCAAGGGCATTTAAAACACAGGTTGCTGGCCCATGGCCAGAATTTCTGATTCAGTAGGTGGAGCCCGAAAACCTGCATTTCTAACTAGTTCCCAAGTGATGCTGATGCTGCTGGCCTGGGGACCACACTTTTGATATTTATTCACTCTCTCAAACTATTTCACACCTTTCTGCTCACAAAAAAAAAAGTCCGATACCTCCTCTCCGTCAGCTGATAACTTTGCTTCCTATTTTCACTGGGAAAATAAGAGCAATCAAAACAGAACTTGTACATATTCTTATCATCTATATGGTATGATATCTGCATCTGTACGCATATATTCTGTCTACTCTTCTGTAACTTAAGCAATGGATCTCATCCCCGTTGCTTACACAAGGTCATCACTCTTCTCACTGTTTCATTAGATTTTTCTCTCTAGTACTGGATCATTCCCAACAGCCCATATACCTGCTGTTATACCTCCCATCTTAACAAAACAACCAAAGCAAGATTCTTTTTTTGACCTCATATCTCCCTCTAGTTCCTTATTACCATTTCCCTTCATATCAAAAATCTCTGAAAGGATTGCTCATATTCACTGTCTCCAGTATCGCTGCATATTCTCTTCAACATACTCCAGTCTGGCTTTCTTTCTAACCCTCCACTGAAATTGCTCTTGTCAAGATCACCAGTGACCTCTTCATTACCTAAATCCAGTGGTCAACTCTCAGGCCTCATCATACTTGATCTGCAGCATGAAACACTTTTCCCATTTTGCATCCAGGACACTTTTTCTTGAGTCTCCTCCTCACTGGCTGCTCTATTTCCTTCTCCTTCCTTGGTTCCTCCTCACCTCCCAGACCTCTAAATGTTGCAGTACCTCAGGTTTTAGACTTCAGAGCTCTTTTTATTCCCACTCATTCCCTAGATGATCTCAACTAGTCTGGTACATTTAACTACCAAAAAAAAAAAAAACTCGATTGCTGTCCAGTTGATTCCGGCTCATAGCAACCTTATAGGATAGAGCAGAACTGCTCTACAGGGTTTCCAAGGCTTTTAATCTTTATGGAAGCAGACTGCCACATCTTTCTCCCTTGGAGCGGCTGGTGGGTTAGAATCGCGGACCTTTGGACTGCGCCACCAGGGCTCCTACATTTAATTAACTATCTACATGTTGTTGTGTGCTGTTGATTTAATTCCAACTCATAGCAACTGTATATGACTGAGTAGAATTGCCCCATAGGGTTTCCTAGGCTGTAATCTTTATGGGGAGGAACGCTGGTTGCTCAGTGGTTAAAGCGCTTAGCTGCTAACTGAAAGGTCATTGGTTCAAAGGCGAACCCATTAGCCGCTCCACAGGAGAAACATGCGGCAGTCTGCTTCTGTAAAGATTTACAGCCTTGGGAGCTCTATGGGGCAGTTCTACTCTATCCTATAGGGTTGCTCTGAGTCAGAATTGACTGGACAGCAATAAGTTTTTAATCTTTATGGGAGCAGATTGCCAGGTCTTTTCTCCCACGGAGCCACTGATGGTTTCTAACTGCCTGCTTTTTAGTTAGCAGTTGAGGTGCTTAACTGTTGCGCCACCAGGACTCCTTAACTACATATCAACGGTGTTCATATCTCCACCCAAACGTTACCTCTGAACTCCAAACTCATATATCCACCTGCCTACTTGATATTTGCACTAGGATGTCTAAAGCCATTGTCATCAAGTTGATTCTGACTCATGGCGACTCCATGTGCTTCAGAGTAGAACCGCTCCATAGGATTTTCAAAAGCTGTAATCTTATGGAAGTAGATCGCCAGATCCTTCTTCCTTAGCACTGCTGGATGGAT